GTGGGCGCCTGTAGTCCCAGCTACTTGGGAGGCTGAGGCAGGAGACTCGTTTGAGCCCAGGAGTTGGAGGTTGCTGTGAGCGTGATGCCATGGCACTCTAACCAGGGGGATAGCTTGAGGCTCTGTCTCAAAAAAAATAAAAAAATAAAAAAATAAAAAAAATAAAAAAAGATTGGCTTTGAGTTGACAGTTGTTGGGACTGGGGGATTGATACATGAGAGTTCATCATATCATTCCCTCTTTGTGATATTTTTGATAGTTTCCAAAACTAAAAGTTCTTGATAGCATTTAGATAAGATGTTTAGGGGAAATGGCATTTTTATTTATATTTGGGACATCTTTTATGTTTGGGGTTACCCATCACACAGTTCATGTATACTGTGTGTGTATTAAGCAGTAACATTGTGTGTTTGGATTTGCATTCTGCCATTAGCTAAGCACCCTCTGAAAGAAAGTTGGGTAATTGTCCAGTGTCCCCCATATTCCATGTTCTCCCTAACCGCTGGAGACATGGGTTGCATTGAACATGAGTTCCTGGAATGCTGGAAGGTCCTCCCATCACAACTGGGACAACTGTGGGAAAAGACAACAGTTGATTTTGAAGAAGGCCACTATTTTGGACATGAACTTAATCATTCTTACCCTATTACCTCTGCCAAACGTGGGAAGTAGTTGGCTACAAAACAGTTGTTTTCTTCTTTATGGACGGAGCCATGTCTTACCCATCAGAATGTAAAGAGGTCCCTATACTCTTAAGATCAGGCTTACATACTCATACATACCCAGTGGAAAAATGGAAGGAAATTTTTAAACCAATACATGTTTGAGGAAGTAGGTAGAGTAATTTAGAAAAAGTAAATACAAGGCGGCGCCTGTGGCTCAAAGGAGTAGGGCGCCAGCCCCATATGCCAGAGGTGGCGAGTTTAAACCCAGCCCTGGCCAAAAACTGCAAAGAGAAAAAAAAAAGTAAATATGTAAAAGTATATAAAAATGTAAATAAGGGGCCTTTTGTATTTGAAATGTTTTATTCAAGAGCTAGAATTAAATTGCCATAGTTCATTGAAAGTTTAGTTTGACTAAAACTTGATTTTTTTTTTCTATTTATAGGCCAAGCAATGCCATTTATAAATATTAACAATCCTGACTGTTCCTTAGTGCATAGTTGTTTATAAATCATGGGAAAGAATGAAATCACTGACTAAGTGAGCCAGAGCAACAGTCTTCCCTGGTAGTAAATAGACGAGCAGTTTCTACTGACATGTACATTGTGGGCCTGGCCTCCAAAAGAAATCTACCCAGAGCAATAGTGTGGTTGTCCAGGGCTATCGAGCCTAATTTTTGGCTGCCTGTGTGTTATTCTGAGTTGTAATTTTCCATGTCATCTAAATTTATAATAATTCTTTAATATGATAGAGTTTCAGGGAACAAACATTCTGCTTGCTGCATTTCTTTTGAGTGAGTAATTCCCTGACAACTACCAGATCTTGGCAGCAGCAAACCTGGTCGTTAGTTTTGCTCCACTCTCTGCATGGTGAAACCTAGGATGCTTAGCACAGTGTCTTTCAAGTCCAAGGCTGATTTTCCTAAAGGAAATTTGGGAGAAAAGTAAATGAAATACTCACATTTAGGAGTAGAACTAATATATTATTAGGAGACTTTAAAAATATATAGACGCTAGTAATGAACTCATTTCTTCAAAATAAAACACCATATGTACTATTTTTTCCTTTTCTCTGTGTGGCTCAATTGTGGCTTACGTGGTTGTGTGAGTTTCCATCATTGAGGGAGTTAAAGTCTGTGGAAGAAAAGCGTGAGGTGCTGTAACGTGGCCAGGTTGGTTTCCATTAGCAGCCAATCCAATCTAACTGAAAATATTGAGAAGTTTGTCTTTTTTGGAAAGCCTTCAGGTTCTTCCAAGTAACCGGTAATGTGACTTTACCACACTGTTCATCAACAGAGGTTTGGATGGCCACCATGTCTGTTTGCTGGCTGAGTCCAAAACCGCGGTCTCTCTCCAGCAGGCTCATGGAGGGTTACGTCATCCTCATTTAGCCAGCCCAACGCTTTTCCCATCTGCTAAAATATAGAACACAGTCGATGATTCTACTCTTTCTGCGAAGAGTTGTTGCTTTTAATAATCATATGTGAATTGGCATTTAAAAAACCTGTGGATCTAAGCAAGCTTAGGGTAATGGAATTTCTCAAAGGACAGTTTCTGCTCTTACAGAGCTGAGCCTTTATGCTCATATATTAGAAGCGTGATAGATGTCTTCATATTGAAATGATGTTCTTTTCATCAGGGCAATGTAAGAGGAATCATTTGCAATATCCCCTAGTACTAAATTCAAGTGGGTTTAGTAGTAGGGTGATCACTAGGTTGTATCCAGCCCTCAGGAGGAAGAACTGATGAGTTATGCACAATTTCTGTAACTCCTCTCTTAGTCCGCCCTCATTTCCTTTTCTCTTTCTAACCTTTACTAAGATATTTGCTAATAGACCTGGGAGTTTATAAAACAATTGGATGGTTGCCTTGCGGTCTGTATTTTGTGGGGGACAGTAGAGCCTAATGTGTTCTT